CAGCAAAAGGACCCGCAAACGACAGGAAGAACGGCAACGAGCAGAGGAGCGATTGGAGCCACACCTTCGGGTAGCCTTCCAGGAGCAGGTCATGATCGAAGAAGCGGAGGCAGAGAAGAAGGTTAAGGACTTCTACATCACAGATGGCACGTGGACGGTGGCGGTGGCGACGGCGAGCTTATCAGGTTCGAGCGCGACACCCTCGGCGTCCCAGATAATTCTTTTCGGGGGCAGCCAGGGCCGCACCCCACCCCCAGCCTCCAGCGCGTGGCCGCTCCTGGCGAGCGTTGAGCCGCCTGAGGCTGTCGGCCCTCCAAGCATGGAGGATAATGGGGTGCTGGCGTTCCCTGCTGCTTGGCCCGCCGCATCTCAGAGGACCTCATGCTGGCACCTATCGAAGGAGCTCCAGTCATGGGACGACAAGCTCATCATCCGAGACGCCAGGCACCGCGAGGCAGAGGCAGCTGCGACGAGGATGTACGGCGACTGGGTCACCTGTCTGGAGGAGGCGGCGATCCTCACGGATGAGATCGACGAGGAGGAGGCCGAGCACTACAGAGGACGGGCTTCGGGCTTCGAGGTCAAGTGGGTCAAGGCGCGCTCGACACCAGGTCGCACCCACATGAAGTTCGGTCCAGCGGAGCAGTGGGGCATCCTCAACGCCATCCTCATCAGGTACCAAGCGCTGTACACCAACGGCACCGACGGCAGGCAGCAGGCAAAGTGCTTGGTGGAGGCAAAGGCGCAGGGCAAGGTCCTCCAGCAGATGGATCAGAGTCAGGTCTTTGGAAGGAAGCACGGCACTGCACAGCAGCAGATGTTCTACGATATACTGGACGACCTGGCGGACTTGGATGAGGGGCAGCTCGGCAACTTAGTCATGCAGGCAGAGGGCCACCTCGCCACTGCGCAGGCGCGTGGCTTCACGGTGCAGCAGAAGAACTTCACGGCGTGGGCAAAGAAGGCATGGGCAGGCAAGGTCGGCCTCCTCCATCGGCACGTGAAGGAGCAGCAGGCGCCGAGGTTCGAGCTGTGCACGGAGGAGATGGAGGGCATCGCGGACCCAGACGCCCTCATTGGCATCAGGAAGCACGAGTGGGAGCGCATATGGACGGACCCAGTGGACTCGAAGGAGGACATCGCGTACCAGCTGGGCAGGCTACGCGATCAGTCCTGGGAGCACGTGCTGGAGCCCCTCACGCTGGAGCAGCTCGACGGGGCCATCGGTGCGTCGTCGTCGGCCAAAGCAAAAGGAGTTGATCTTCTTGGCCCGCACGATCTGGCTCGGGCTCCCAGAGATGCAAGAATATGGTTACTTCACATCCTACAGTATTGTGAGCAGGAAGTCACATGGCCGAGGCAATGGGCAGCCACCAAGTGCGCTCTGGCGGCCAAGCCCAAAGGTGGAGATCGGGTACTCGGTATGCTGGCCCTCCCCATCAAGCTCTGGTCTAGGGCTCGGGGAGGGTGCTGCACAGAATGGAGTGACGCGTTATCGGCCCATTGGGACACAGCCCTCAAAGGCAGCTCAGCCCTCCGTGCGGGGCTCATCAGGGCCTGCCTGGACGAGGTGGGGGCAGAGCTCGGAGCATCGGCGATGACGCTCCTGTTGGACATCGAGAAGTTCTACGACACAGTCTCGCTCGTCATCCTGTCCCAGATCGCCCTCAGAGTGGGATTCCCCGCAGTGGTGGTGGCGTTAGAGATCACCGCGTTCGTGGGCCCGAGGTACCTGCAGGAGCGGAACATTCTCAGCGAAGCGATCTGGTCCACGAGGTCTCTGGTAGCAGGCTCTGCCAGAGGCGTGGGGCTGGCGAAGCTGTTCTTGCACCCGATATTAGACAGGGCGCATCGGAGGTCGCCACAAGCTTCGCTGTGGACATTCGTGGACGACACGGTGGCGAGACAAGAAGGTAGCAGGCAAACAGTCGGCGATGGCATCATCCAGGTCACGGAGATCATCACGGACGGCCTCAAGGAGCAGAGGATGAAGATCTCCAGCAAGTCGGTCCTGATAGGCACCCACCCGAAGGATGTGATACGGACGGCCAAGTCCATGAGGAAGAGGCAGATCCCCGTCTACGCAGTCACGGAGGCACTGGACCTAGGCCTGGATTCGTCGGCTGGTAGGAAAAGGGTCACTACGAAAGCGAAGCAGCGTGCCAAGAGAGCGAAGCACAGGTTCGCCAAGATCGTGAGGCTGCGTCGAACCGCGGCCTTGGCCAAAGAGAGTAAAGGATTATGGACGGCAGGAGCAGTACCACAGGCAGTGTACGGCCACCAAGCTTTCGGGCTTGCAGTCCACGAGCTCCAACGCCTACGACGACAAGCTGGACAGGTGGCAGGAGGTAAGGCGCGTGGCCGATGCTTGACGACGACACTGGCGGTTGAGTTGTGGAAAGGCGATCCAGGGGTGGCAATACGTGTGGCCGTGGTCAAGGAGTGGATCAACCTATGGCAGCGCTACCCAGAGAACCACGCCAGGATCGTCAAGGCATGGCCGCGGATATTCGACCGTCTGTCAAAGCTTGGGGCAAAACGCTGGAGAGGAGTGCGCGGACCAGTCGGAGCGGTGCAGGCGACCATCATGGACGTGGGCTGGTATGCACCAACGGCGACGGTGTGGATGCGACCAGTCGGAGCAGATGAGGATCCAGCAGAACAGTGGGATATCCCGTCCGCCATGGACGGCACGTTCGACAACACGGGGTGCTTCCAGCAGCTGATAGACGACTTCGAGGACGACACGGTAGCTCAATACTGGAAGGCTGCAGCAGCACACCCACATGGTGAAGGTCTGGAGGATGGAGCGGATGTCTGGCAGATCCGCGCAGAGCAGCGAAGGTTCGAGAAGCAGGGGCAGCTGGACATGGTCGGAGCCAACATCGCCGTGGTCGCGGGAGGACAGTGGCCGAAGCAGCGATCCGCCGACCAAGGATACCTCCTGGACTGCAAGAAGTGCGATAGGTGCAAGGAGGAGGAGGAGACCTTGATGCATCGGATCTGGCTATGCCCCAAGAACGTGGACCACGAGGACTTCACCAAGTCGGCGGACCTCCTGCCGGCTGCGATGGCGCAAGCTGAAGCGGAGCCAGCGCTGTGGCTGCGAGGACTGCCGCCAGCCTCTCTCACGCACCCTAGGTTTAACGATGAACTGATTGAGGGGAGGGAGGTTCGGTTCGGTGAGCTGGGGGACTGGGAGGAGTGTCGGTACGAAGGAGAGATCCACATTTTCGGCGACGGCTCTGGAGGGAAGCACTCCTCGGACCCTCGCCGACGCCGCTGTGGATCAGCGATTGTAGCATTGCAGGTGCGTGACGGGGAGTGGAGTGTGGGCCGAGCTGTTGCAGTCCCACTCCTCGGTCGCAGGCAAACGGTTCCCCGCTCGGAGATTTTAGCGTTCGCCCTGGCGCTCGAAGAGTGCCACGCTGATTTCATTTTCATTACTGATCATAGGACGATCGCGAAGACCTGGAAATACCGCATGGAGCACCCTAAAGCCACGGGTCCCAATGAGGACCTCTGGGCCCGAGCCAGAGTGGCCTGGCAGACTCACCCAGACAGATTTGTGCAGGTAGAGTGGACGGCGTCCCATCTGGACGAGACGCCTGAGCTGCTCGAATCGCCGCGGCAACTGTTCTTGGCAGCAGGGAATTTAGCTGCTGACGTCTGGGCGGGAGTCGGGGCGGAGCTGGCTTGGGAGTTCGGGCTGGTGGGGAGGGCCCCAGAGACTGACAAGGTAGACGCGATCGCACACCTCGTGCGGAAGCGAGCGCGCAGAGCATTGCTACTGGCCGCCGCGTCGGAGACGTCAGAGCGTGCTGGTAGAGCCCCAGTTAGTAAGAGACTTTTTAAGCAGGAGAGATTGATCAGGGATTCGCCCCACCAGCTAGAGCGTGTTGGAAACAAATGGAGGTGCTCACAGTGCGACGCGATCGCGACTGGAGCCAGGTTTTTGCGGTTTTCGGTTTCTCCGTGTCCTGGGCCCCCTGGCAAAACCAGGTCGGAGGTCCCAGAGTTCATACCGTTTAAAGGAGTGGACCTCGAGATCCACGAATCCCACACGATCACTAGGGTCGATCGATGGTTCTTGCAGATCTGTTCGGTCTGCGGCATGTATGCGACTGTGGACTCGAGGTCTTTGCGTCTGAAGTGTCGAGGTCTCACACCGAACGGTGCCGAGAATATTCGTCGAATTGAATTAGGTCTTTTCCCTCGGCGTGAGGGCCCCCCCAGAGCCATTAAGATGGCCATCGCTCGCAGAGATGAGGGTCGTGTCGTGTCGGCCCACGAGGCTAGGGGTTCGCAGGAGAACAGCGAGCGTGGGGGGGGCCCCACCGAGCCTCCCGCGGCGACCCGCGCCCGCAACGACGGGCACGAGCGTGGTCTGCCGAGCAGTGCAGCCGACGAGTCGCGCTTCCAGGCAAACGTTCAGAGATTGCTGGCTGCTGCGAGGGGCACGGCTGCGCATGTGCGGGCGCCGCGGGAGGATTCAGAGTCTTCCGATTGACGGCAGATGCCCGTAAGCCAGGACGAAGACTGAGGGACAGAGGTCCGAGAGCAAAGAGGTCCAAAGAGGTCCTCCTCATCCTCCTCCTCCTCCTCCTCCGCCTCCTCCTCCTCCTCTTCCTCCTCCTCCGCCTCCTCTTCCTCCTCCTGGTCTGCTCTTCCTCTTCCTCCTCCTCCGCCTACTCCTCCTCCTCCTCCTCTTCCTCATTCTCCTCCTCATCATCTCTCTCCTCCTCCTCCTCCGCCTCCTCATCCTCCTCCTCCTCCTCTTCCTCCTCCTTCTCCCCCTTCTTCTCCTCCTATTCCTCCTCCTTCTCCTCCTCCTCCTCCTCCTCCGTCTCCTTCTCCTCCTCCCCTTCCCTCCTTCTTCTTCTTCTCCTCCTCCTCATCATCATCATCACCCTTCTCCGTCTCCTCCCCGCCATTTTCGCCCCCCCCACCCATGCCCCGCCACCCCTCTGCCCCTCCCCCCGCCCGCCGCCCCCCCCTTCCGCCTCCCTGGAGGCCAACACCGCCTCCGTGACCGTGAACGGCGCACTCCTGCGGGACTATGCCCGCTCCATGGGGAACGTCGGCCTGAGGGAGGACGTGTACGACAGGCTTGGACCCAGGAGAAATACAGCGCGGATTTTGTTGTTCCAGGTGATCTCCCTTGTCCTCGGTGCTGTCGACGATCGACCGGAGATGAAAAAACGCCATAAACATAAACTGTTGGCGCTCCGCGCGGTTGTCTTGGATCGGCGCTGGTCCCCCACCCTGGCGGCGCCTCCGGCACCGCCCTTGGCGCGCTCCGCGCGCCAGGCAGGGGGGGTCCTGCGCGGATCCACGAAATCCGCGCGGAGCGCCAAACGTTTATGTTTATGCCGTTTTTCTTTTCTACCGGACCCAGATCACCTCGCGTCGTGAGAAATGCAGCGCGGACGTCAATTTGGTTTTGTTGGGAGGGGGGGGCTTCCAGGGGCTCTCCCTTGTCCGGGGAGTTGTCAACGAACGACTCAGGATGAAAAGCGGGCTCCCGGGGAAGGGCTCCAGACCTCTTGGGGGCCACGTAGTTCCAAAAGCCTTGACGTGAGGAGGCCCGGTGGAGACAGCGGGGGCCCTCCCCGCCGCGGCGCTGTCCTGCTGGGGCCTCCTGGAGGCTTCTCGTCGCCACGGTCAGATCCGCCCCGAGAAACAGGTCAGAACGGATCCTGACAGGGGTCCGACGCTCCAAAAAAAAAAATTGGAGCCGGCGGTTTTTGACAGTGTTCGGCCTCCCGGGGCCCTCGCCCGGCTTCGGGAGCGTAGAAGAACGACTCGGGACGAAAAACCGGCCCCCGGAAAGTGGTCCAGACCTCTGGGGCCCACGCATCGACAAAATTGGAGCAGCCGGATGTCTGGGCACATGTACCATGTTCAATGTGTTGACACGTTGCGTGAGTTGGCTTGTCACGTGTTGGGCCACTTTTTCGCGTCGAAATTCCGCCAAACCTACGTTTTCAGTCTACGTGTTGAGCCCCGAGTCAACACACGACGGGTTGCGCGTTGCGCATCGTGGAAGCTAAGCCGCTGCTGTCTCCACTGCCCCCCCCACTTCCGGCAGGCTCTACACGGCGATGCTGTCGCAGGCGCAAGCGACGCCAGGGCGGCTGGTCAGCGCGGCGGGCGCCCCACCCGCGGCCCAGTCGGCCATGCGCAGCCTTGGCTTCGCGGCCAGCTTCGCCCGCGTGGGCGCGGATTGGAGCCCAGGCGACGGCGCCACAGGCGCCGTCTTCCTCGACGTGTACGCCCCGCAGAACCGGCCGATGTGCAGCCGCAACGTCCCCTCTGATCCGACGTTGCGAAAGAGTTGCAGCACAGCGAAGGATCGCGACAGGAGCCCCATGCACCCCACCTTTCTGCGCCACTTTTTGAGCCAGATCGATCTCTGATGGTCCCCGGGCCCGAAGCCGGGCGAAAAGTTCCAGCGCAAGGTGCAACGTTTGGACCCCACAAGGTCGGCTTGCTGTACCTGGAGGCGCCCTGCGGCGCCGTGGAGTGGGGCGCCGGGCGGTGGCAGGTCTGATGGGCCTGTTTTCCAACACCACCACCATCAGATGGAGGGGGGAAAGGAGGAGGAGGAGGAGGATGAAGAGGAATTGGAAGAGGAGGAGGAGTGGAAGCAGCGGAGAAAGAGGGAGAGGAGGAGGAGGAGGAGGAGGACGACGACGACAAAGAGGAGGACGAAGAGGAGGACAAAGAGGAGGACAAAGAGGAGGAGGAGGAGGAGGAGGACGAAGAGGAGAACGAAGAGGAGGACAAAGAGGAGGACAAAGAGGAGGACAAAGAGGAGGAGGAGGAGGAGGAGGAGGAGGGAGGGAAGAGGGGGGAGGAGGAGAGAGGAGGAGGAGGAGGAGGAGGAGGAGGAGGAGGAGGAGGAGGAGGAGGAGGAGGAGGAGGGAGGAGGAGGATGGAGGAGGGAGGAGGAGGAGGAGGAGGAAGGAGGAGGAGGAGGAGGAGGAGGAGGAGGAGGAGGAGGAGGAGGAGGAGGAGGAGGAGGACCCCCTCCCCCTCCAGCTTGTGGTGGTGGCGGTGGAGAACGGGCCCGCCAGGTCGGGGGCCACAGGCCGACGCTCACCGACCGCGGGGCCTTCCTGCGGGCCGTGGAGGGCGCCGCGGCCAACGCCCTGCTGGCGGTCCGCGAGTACAACCGCGCCGCCGCGGGCTCGCCGCTGCCGCGCGTCGAGGCGCCCAAGCCCCGCTCCCCAGACCTCCTCGCGTCGTGAAAGAATCACGACGGGAGGTTTTTCGCTATTTTCGGCCTCCGGGGGCCCTTCCCAGGCCTCGGGACCGTCAAAAAACGACTCAGGATGAAAAACCGGTCCCGGGGAAAGGGTCCAGACTTCTGGGGGTCGACGTTGTGAAAAAATCACGACGTCGGGGGTCTGGGTCGGGTGGTGAAGAGCTCGGCGTCAAGTCGGGCGTGTCCCTCTGCAGGAGGAGTACCGAGACCTGAGGTTTGTCGCTGTCTTCCGCCTCCGGGGGCCCGGTTGTCGGTCCCTAGGACCATCAAAAAACGACTCGGGATGAAACACCGATCCCGGGGAAGGGGCCGGGACCTCTGGGGGTCGACGTTTTGAAAAAATCACGACGTCGGGAGTCTGGGGGTCCAGACATAGTCTGGGGACTGTTTCTCCATATGTTTGATATCTTGCGGGTCACATTTTTCCCCTAATCAGAGCTTGCCTGTCGAGGTCCTAGCGGATTCATATGGTTAGGGGAGCTGGGCCGCCGAGTACGGTGGCCGGGCCGGGTGCCCGGGTGCCCGTGGGTACCCGGGTGCCCGGGCGTGCCTGGGTGGCCGGGTGCCCGGGAGCCCGGGTGCCTGGGTGCCTGGGTGCCCGGGTGCTCTACAGCTTTATAGTTTCATAGCTTTATAGCCTAATAGACATATAGCCATAGCCCTATTGCCCTATTGCCATGTGGCCCAAATAGCCCTATAGCCCTAATAACCCGACAGCCCTATAGCCTTATTGTCTTACAGTCCTATAGCCCGATAGCCCTATAGCGCTATAGCCCTATAGCCCTACAGCCCTTTAGTGCTATAGCCCTATAGCCTTATAGCCCTACAGCCCTATAGCCCCATAGCCTTCTAGCCCTATAGCCCCATAGCCCTGCAGCCCTAAAAACATAGGTTGGGGGGCTTGTCTCCTGTATCATTCGAGTATGTTTCATTTGTCGTCCAAAAGCCGCCTGTAGGAGGACATGCCCAACATAAACTCGCGGCAAAAGTTTTGTTTATATTTTCGGTTTTTTCCCGGGCCCTTCGCCAGGCCCCGGGACCGTCAAAAAGAGGCTCGGGATGAGAAGTCTGCTCTGGCGAATGGGTCGACACCTCGAGGGGCCCAGGTTGTGAGAATCTCACGACGTCAAGGGCGTGGGTGCAGAGGAGGACATGGCAACGATGTCGCCACCTTGCCTCGTTTTCGCCCTTCTGGTCCTGCTGGGAGGCCCTCGTCGCCACGGCTGGATTCGCCGTGAAGTTTGGATCAGAGCGCACCCCTCCAGAGGTCCGTGGAGCAGCGGTGATGGATGCATCTGATTTGGTGTCGGTACCGCTGGTGATACGCGAACATACGTGGTAGATATTGGAGACGCGCGATGCGCGATAGGATGAGGAGGAGGAGGAGGAGGACGAGGAGGACGAGGAGGAGGGGAACCAAAAGGGTGGTAGGTGCGTTCTAGCGCACCCAGGCATTCCCGAGTCCGCGGGGCAGCCGGACCTCTGGAGCCGCGGTATCGGCATCTTCTCGTGAGAGAGCGCCCCCGTGGCGCACCCCCAACAGGGGGGAAGGGGGCACCCCCTTACAGCTACCCTCCGCCCGCCCCTTGGATCTCCGCTGCCGGAAGCCCCCCCCCCTTCCTTCTCGCCCCGCAGAAGCTTGCGCCCCCTCCCCCCCTTTTTTCTCGCCCCGCAGAAGCTTGCGCCCCCCCCCTCCCCCCTTTCCCTCCCTTTCGGCGCTCCATAAGCTGCCCCCCCTCCCCGCCCTTCTCCCCGCAAGAAGGGGGGAGGGGACTCAGCTACCCCCCCCTCTTTGGACCGCTCCTGCCGGAGGCTCCCCCCCCCTCTCCCCTTCTTCCTTTTCTTCCGAAGCGACGCTCGCCATGCGAACGTCGCCATTGGGCCTTCGGTGGATCTCCCTATGGGGCCACGAAGGGCTGTACTGAGTGCGAGCGAGGCATGCGAGCACCGCGAGTGGGGCCCTCGGTGGAACTCCCTATGGGCCACAAAGCTTCGTACTGGGCGAGGGGAATGCATGCGAACACTGCCACTGGGGGCCTTCGGTGGAGCTCCTTATGAGCCCACGAAACGTTGCATTGGATGAAGGAGACGCATGCGAACGCCGCCACTAGTGCCTCCGCTGGAGCCCCCTTACGGGGCCACGTTGAGTGGGGGAAACGCGTACAGACAGGAAATGCACCGCCGCTGAGGCTTTCGGTGCAGCTCCTTATGATCACACGAAACGTTGTACTGGGCGGAGGAGACGCATGCGAGCGCTTCCACTGGGGCCCTCGGTGGAGCCCCCGTACGGGGCAACGAAATCTTCTTGTACTGGGCGAGGGAAACGCATGCGGACACAGCCACTGGAGCCTGCGGTGGAGCTCCATATGGGGCCACGAAACGTTGTATTGGGTGGGGGAATCGCATGCGGACACCGTCACACGGGCCTTCGGTGGAGCTCCCTATGGGGCCACGAAGCGTTGCACTGGGTGGGGGAAACGCATGCGGACGCAGCCGCTGGGGCCTTTGCTGGAGCTCGTTGTGGGACCACGAAACGTTGTAGTGGTTGTGGGACGCATGCGGACATCGCCAGTAGGGCATTCGGTGGCGCTCCCTATGGAGCCACAAACTGAGTGCGGACACCGCCACTAGGGCCTTCGGTGGACCCCAGATGGGGGCACGAAAAGTGTGAGGGGTGTGCCCAAGTGGAGGAGGGGGGCACGTGAACGCAGCCACTGTGGCCTGCGGTGGAGCTCCCAATGGGGCCACGAAACGTGTGAGGGGTGGACTAAAGTGGACAAGAGGCGGCATCTGAACGCAGCCACACGGGCCTTCGCTGGAGCTCCCTATGGGGCCACGAACACGTGTGAAGTGTTGGCCAAAGTGGACAAGAGGCATCATGCCAATGCAGCTACTAAGGCCTTCGGTGGAGCTCCCTATGAGGCCACGGAACGTGTGAGGGATGTGCCCAAGTGGACAGGAGGCGGCATGTGAACACAGCCACTGGGGTCTTGGGTTGAGCTCCCAAAAGGGCCACGCTATGAGGAGTGAGCCAACGTGAACAGGGGGTGGCATGTGAACGCAGCCACTGGAGCATGCGGTGGAGCTCCCTATGTGGCCACGAAACTTGTGAGTGGTGTGCCAAAGTGGACAGAAGGCCGCATGTGAACGCAGCCAGTGGGGCCATGGGTGGAGCTCCCTATGGAACCACGAAGCTTATGAGGAGTATGCCAAAGTCAGGGATTGACGAGAGAAGCGAGGAGGGGGAGGAGGAGGAGAGGAGGAGGAGGAGGAGGAGGAGGAGGAGGAGGAGGAGGAGGAGGAGGAGGAGGACGCGGGGCACCGTCTCTTCAAAACGACGACCCAACACCGCAGGATGGATGGGAAAAACAAGCAGTTTTGACCCCCCCTTGGCAACCAATATCAGCTACGAACAAGAGGGGAGGGTAGTTCCAAAGCCCCAGGGGGGAGCTTCCGAAGCCCCCCCCCGTGTTGAAAGACCCGGAAAGGTGGGAGGGGGGGTAGCTTTGAAGCCCCCCCTTTGGCACGGCGATCTCTGCTGTGACAACGAGGAGGGAGAGGGTAGCTTCCGAAGCCCCCCCCCTTCATTTGGAAGGTGGCCTCTTTGGCATGGCAATCTCAGCTGCGAAAAGGAGGAGGGGTAGCTTCCGAACCCCCCCCCCCTTGAAAGGGAAGCCTGGGCTGAACCTTGGCCCGAAAAGGAGGGGGCGGGGTAGCTTTGAAGCCCCCCCCCTTTGGCTAGGGCTCCATGGCTCGGAAGTGTCCTCACAACGGGGGAGGGGGGGGGCAGCTTCGGAAGACCCCCCTTTCCCAAGGGAGGGGGGGGTAGCTTGAAGCTGGGCCCCCCTTGTAGCGAGAAGTGCGCCACGAGGGTGCCTGTCTGGGCCTGCAGGGCGGCCCGCGTTGCCACGGCCGCCGGAGTGACCTTTGGTGCGGGCAGAGATGGGTCCCCAGATGGCCGAATGCGAAGCGGTGGCAGCGGCTCGCGCGCCTGGATTTGGCCTCCCCGCGGCCCCCCCGAAGCCGCGCACCAAAGGCCACTCCTACCCAGGGTCGCTCTTTACGTGTGGCCGACAGAGGTGCTGCAGTTCTGCCTCATCTCCGCGGGGCCCCAGCGGCACCCCGACGCCTCGCGGCTCGACGTCGCCGCGGCCCTGGTCCGCGGCCTGGCCGCGGGCGCCGCGGGCGCGGGCGCGGCCGAGGACCTGCCCCTCGTGCGCCTGGCCCACGACCCCGAGGGCGCCCTCCAGCGGGCGGCGGAGGCCCTCGGAGGGCCGGCGGCCGCCCCTTGAGGCCCCGGGGGGCTGAGCGCCCCCCTCTGGCGGGCGCCGCCGTCCGCCGGGGCCGCCCGGCGGCGCGGGGCGCGCGCGTCCACGCCTCCGCGGGGCCCCCGTCCCGAGAAAAGCACGAGGCCGCACGCACGCGCGGCCTCCTCGAGGGGGGGGGGGCGCCTGGAGCAGGGGCGCCCCGAAAGGGCGCGCCGGAGGAGGAGGAGGAGGAGGAGGAGGAGGAGGAGGAGGAGGAGGAGGAGGAGGAGGAGGAGGAGGAGGAGGAGGAGAGGAGGAGGAGGAGGAGGAGGAGGAGGAGGAGGAGGAGGAGGAGGAGGAGGAGGAGGAGGAGGAGGAGGAGGAGGCGAAGGAACGACGGCGGCCCCGCTGGGCCCGCCGCCGCCAGCTCCCGGCGCGGCAGCGCCGGGCGAGCTGCCGTCGGCCCGGCGCGGCGCGGAGGGCTGGGCTCGAGGGGCGAGCTCGCCCGGCGCGGAGGGCTCCGTGCCCAGACTTATGTCGGGCGTGTCCCCCATACAGTGGGATTTTGGACGAAAATAAAAAGAGAAGAAAATACAAACAACCAAGAAAAAACATAAAATTCTCAAAAAATAGTCCCCAGGCTATTTTTGGACTATTTTGGGGGCATTTTTTCCCAACCATCCTGTGGTGTTGGGTCCTCGTTTTGAAGAGACGGTGGCCCGCGTCTCCTCTCCTCCTCTCCTCCTCCCCCTCCTCCTTGCGTTTCACCCACCCAGCACAGCGTTTCGTAGCCCCATAGGGAGCTCCACCGAAGGCCCCAGTGGCAGGGTTCGCATGGCGGCCTCGGGCCATTTCGGCACACCCCTCACGAGGATCGTGGCCCCATAGGGAGCTCCACCGAAGGCCCTAGTGGCAGGGTTCGCATGGCGGCCTCGGGCCATGTCGGCACACCCCTCACGAGGATCGTGGCCCCATAGGGAGCTCCACCGAAGGCCCCCAGTGGCAGGGTTCGCATGGCGGCCTCGGGCCATTTCGGCACACCCCTCACGAGGATCGTGGCCCCATAGGGAGCTCCACCGAAGGCCCCCTGTGGCAGGGTTCGCATGGCGGCCTCGGGCCATTTCGGCACACCCCTCACGAGGATCGTGGCCCCATAGGGAGCTCCACCGAAGGCGCCAGTGGCAGGGTTCGCATGGCGGCCTCGGGCCATTTCGGCACACCCCTCACGAGGATCGTGGCCCCATAGGGAGCTCCACCGAAGGCCCCAGTGGCAGGGTTCGCATGGCGGCCTCGGGCCATTTCGGCACACCCCTCACGAGGACCGTGGCCCCACTGGAGCTCCACCGAAGGCGCCAGTGGCAGGGTTCGCATGGCGGCCGCGGGCCATTTCGGCACACCTCTCACGAGGATCGTGGCCCCATAGTTGTGCTGCTTCAACAACCGCGCCTGGGCGTCGTACTCCGCCTTGTCGACGTGCAACGCCACCTCCTCCCTCATGGCTCTCAAGACCCTTTCCTGCTTCTGCTCCTCGGTGAGAGGGACGCCGTCCTTGTCGTCGTCGGCGCCCGCGAAGACGGCCACGAACGTTTCCCTGAGCATGTCGGGCTCAGGCGGGAAGCCGTGGCCACATAGGGAGCGCGGGCGAAGATGGTATTTACAATTGCGGTATTCACAACTGCATATGCTTGGGTCCTTCGCCAGGATAATTTTCCGTCGAAAATCCCCTTGTAGGGGGACACGCCCGACTTAAGCCCAGATCTCCTCGCGTCGTGAAAAAGTCACGGCGCTGGGCGTTTCCACATGTTTTCGGCCTCCGCGGGGGCCCTTCCCCGGCCCTGGGGCCGTCAAAGAACGATTCCCCCGAGTGTTTCGATGGTAATACTGCAGCTACGGACCTGAAAATGTCACTGGCAAGCGCGACATAAACTATTCCAGGTGCGAGAAATCTTGGTTCTCAAAACGAATAATCAAATCTCTCAGAATCTTCCAAAAAAAAAAAATGGAGTGGCGGGATTTTACAGTTTTCGGCCTTCGGCCTCAGGGGGGCCTTCGCCGGACCTCGTGAGAGTGAAAAAACGGCTCAGGGCGAAAAACCGGCCCTGGGGAAGTGGTCCGGACCTCCAGGGTCCACGCATTTTAAAAAGTGGAGCAGCTGGATGTTTGGGTTCGGGATGACGAACCAGTCCCGGGGAAATGGTCCATAGAGGTCCGGACCACTTCCTTGGGGCCAGTTTGTCGTCCTGAATCGTGTTCTGACGCTCCCGAAGCCTGGCGAGGGCCCCCGAACCCGAAAACGGCCAAAAACCGCCCGCCCCGTTGTTTGGAGCGTCGGATCTCATGAGGGGTCGACGCTGTGAGAAAATCGCGACGTCGGGGGTCTGGGAAGGGCTCTCTGGGCCGGAGCCGCGCGGAGCTCTGGAGGGGGCGAGCTCCCGCCGCTGGGGGGTCGCTCGCCGCTGAGAGCGGGGCTAGAGCCGCTCTCAGCGTTGGGGGGCACGTGCTTGACAGGGGCCACCCCTCGCGCCTCGCTCACTACCTGCTGGTGCGGCTGCTGGTCTTGGCTCCCCCGCCTCCACGTCCACTTCCTCCTCCTCCATCTCCACTTCTTATTCCTATTCCTCCTCATCCTTCTCCTCCTCCTCCTGCTCCTCCTCCTCCTCCTCCTTTTCCTTTTTACTGAAGTTGAGATCAGCCTTGCGTCTTGAGATGAGTTTTCGCGTCTACCAGGAAAGTTTGTGTTAAAGTTGGCAACGTTGTTGGGATTCCCCTTATGTGTTGGCAAAGTTGGGATTATCATTATGTGTTGGCAATGTTGCTGGGATTGGGATTACGTGTTGGTAGAGTTGTTGTGGGTCGCTGCATGTGTTTGCAAAGCTGTTGGGGTCCTCGTATCCGTTGGCAAGGTTGTTGGGCCATGTTTGGGGTTCCTTGTATGCGTTGGCAGGGTTGATGGGTTTCTTGCATGGGCTGTGCAAGCTGTTGTGGCACATGTCGGCTTGACTATGGGGGTTGGATAAAGAGGTGGCCAGGACGCTGCGCGTGTTGATTGGTTGCACTGCCGATAAGGATAGGGTGATTGTTGTTGTTGCTGCTGCTGTTGTTGATGTGGTGGTTGATGTTGTTGTTGGCGTTGCTGATGTTGTTGCTGTTGCTGCTGTTGTTGTTGCCGTTGGTGTTGCCCTTGGTGTTGTTGTTGAATGTTCATTTCTGAAGAATAATTATTGTTGATCTCCAGAAATATTTCCGCGCGCTCTCGCCTCGACGCCCGCTACATGTTCTCTGAAAACGAGGCTCCCGCTCGAGCGTTGGCTTGAGCCTAAATTTGGGCCCGTGGAGGCCCAGCTACGACAACAACGGCTGCCGCTCGATACTTCCTCACAAATTATCCCGAGACACCCTGGCCAGAGAGGCCCCCGAACTTAGGAACGGCGCTCTCGCTCAAGACTTCCTCGCGATTCAATTAAGTTGGCGGAGGCCCAGCCACGGCGACAAGGGCTCCTGATCGATATTTCCTCACGATTTATTCCGAGAGCCCTTGGCCAAGACGGCCTCCGAACTCAGGAACGGCGCTCTCGCTCGAGACTTCCCCGTAATGCAAGCATGTTGGTGGAAGCCCGGACACGGCGACAATGGCTCCCGTTCGATGTTTTTCCATCGGTATTCCGAGAAGCCTTGGCCAGAGAGGCCCCCGAACTCAGGAACGGCGCTATCGCTCGAGAACTCTTGCCTTTCAGTCAGTGGCCGACACGGAAGAGATTCGCCCCGAAAGGGGGTGCAATTGAAGACGTCGGGGGGGGGCATGTGACGAATGCCACTCGCGTGTACATGGCTGTCGCATGGGCATATTGGCGTTCACAGTTTCGCGCTTGCTGCGTGGTGCGTTGCCGTTGCCGTTGGGAGGTTCAGGGCTGCTGCGTGGGCCGTTGGCCGTTGAAAGTTTCGGGGCCGCTTCATGCCATTGTCGTCCACAGTTCCAAGGCTGCTGCAGGGGCTCGTTGCTGTTGGCGTGTGTCGTTTCTGGTGGCAGACCCGCACTTGCCAACGACAGTGGCAACGGCCCATGCATCACCCCCGAAACTGTCAACGGCAACGACAGCGATCCATGCAGCAGACCCGAAACTCCCAGCGGCAGTTCCAACGGCCCACGCAGCAGCCCCGAATCTCCAAACGGCAATAGCAACGCCCCACGCAGCAACGCCGATTCTCTCAACGCCACTGGCATCGCCCCACGCAACAGCTAATACCAATAACAACGCCCCACGCAGCATCCGCGAACGCGTCAAGACCCTGTACTGCAACAGCTGCGAAAGTACCAACGCCCTTCCCAAACTCTGTTTCAGCAGCTGCGAACATGCCAACGATCTCTCCCAGCGCTGCTTTGTTTGCAAGGCGTGTGTCAACAAGTGTTGGAACTCCTTCTCCTCCTCCTCCTCCTCCTCCACCTCCTCCTCCTCTTCCTCCTCCTCCTGTAGTTGGTGTGGCAGCTGTAAGACGCGGCCCTCATGAATTTATCAAAGCCCCCGGAGTCTTCGATGGTAACACCAAGAATGAAAAACCAGAAGAACATATGATGCTCTCGTCACACCGCTGGTGCGCTCGACTCAAGGGCCCGTGAGGGCTTGGGTCAAAACGTAACAGTACGCCCGCTATGCTACAGTCATGCTTTGCACAATACACAAGATGTACAGCGTATACCTCCCTTCTATATGAAATATGAAGTCCGAAACTCCACAGACAAACATCTCAAACATGTTCTGCACAAACGGCCGAAGACTGCATAAACAAACGGGCATACATAAACAGCATTGCATGAAATGCAAACCTGCGCTTGTAAGCTGAATATGAAATGCACATATGCAGACATATGACATGCAAACCTGCGTCTGCAAGCTGAATATGAAATGCACAACTGGCAATACAAACCTGAGCGTACAAAAAAACTGAAGCTGCGCTGGTGCGTTGGCTCACTCACTGCAGCCCTTGGGGCTGTCGTCTGCTGCCCGATCGTAGCCGTCCTGCCACCTGAAACTTTGCCTGCTCGCTTG